GCTCCGCCCCAAGGCATGCCGGGAGCTGTAATCCCTCCCTCACCGAGAGCCCCCACGCCCGCCGTGCCTGCGGGCCCGCCCCAGCTGCCCCCGCAGGGCCGGGGACCCTCCCTCCCTCTTTCCTTCCCTCCCTCCCTGCCCTGCCCACCCCGGTAAGAACAGGCCGCACGCTCGCGTTAGAGACATTTTATTGGGCACCCCCGCCCCGCGCAGCCCGAGGCCTGCAGGCACCCACCTCCAGAAGGAAGAAAAGATGGGTTATGGTTGTAGGTGACTCCCTTCTGAGGGGAACAGGGGGTCCCCTGCCCTGGACAGACCCTCCTCTTAGGGCAGTCTGCTGCCTCCCTGGGGCCCAGGTTAAGGACATGACTAGGAAACCTCCTTGCAGTATTGCCCATTACTGCTCTCCCACGTGGGTTGTGATGAAGCCACAACGCATAGTCCAGGGGCGATCAAAAGAGACTTCAGGGCCTTGGGACGGTCAGTATGGGAACCTGGAGCACAGGTTACTTCTTCCTCTCTCCTGGTTGCAGGCAGTGACGTTGGAAGAAACTGACTGACCCAGTCTATTAATACATGGCTCCGCAGTTGCTGTCACTGCCACAATTTTGGAGTTTTCAATAATGGGATGGCCTACACAGCACCAGGCCCGCTGGCATCAGATGGGATTCAGCTTTCTCAAAGCAGGAAGGGGGTCTTTGCTCCCCAGCTAGCTGGGCTCATTGCAGCTTTAAACTAGGCTCGAGAGGGGAGGGGGATAACGTCAGGCTTGCCCATGACAGGCTGTGGGAAAACACGCCATGGTTAGAGGGGCGGGGTGCAAGCAAGTGCCCTCAGCCTGTTGTTCTGAGACATGCTGGCTACACTGGAGCACACTTGAGGCCTTACAGGGATGAGCCAGGTGCTCCTGAGGTAATAGGAGCCAACAGGGAAATACCAGTGAAATACCTCAAAGGAACTAAGGGGTGTTCTTATAAGAAGGTGACGTGGCCAACAGCCCAGCTGAAGCTACACCAATGCACGCAGCATGGGCAACAAACAGGAAGAGTTGGAAGCCACCATGCTGCTAGAAAGCTACGACCTAGTTGCCGTTACTGAAACCTGGTGGGACAAATCTCATGACTGGAGTACAGCTATTGATGGTGTCCTGGCGGTTAATTTTCTTCCTAGTATCTGGCACAGTGCTGTGTTTTGGATTTAGTACTAGAAGAATGTTGATAACCGAACCATCACTGTATTGTTGCTGAGCAGGGCTTACACCAGTCAAGGGCTTTTTCAGCTTCCCGTGCTCTGCCAGGGGCACAAGCAGCTGGGAGGGGGGCACAGCCAGGACAGCTGACCCCAGCTGGCCAAAGGCCTATTCCATACCATTTGACATCATGCTTTGGGGGCAGTTAGAGGGCAGGAAGAGTGATCACTGCTCGAGAGGGGCTAGGCATTGGTCAGTGAGTGGTGAGCAATTGCATTGAACATCACTTGTTTTGTATAGTCTCTATATTCTATTATTATTACTACTTTTTTTTTTCCCCCGCAGCATGGGAAACAAGCAGGAGGAGTTGGAAGCTATCGTGCTGCTAGAAAGCTACGACCTGATTGCTATTACGGAAACTTGATGGGATGAATCCCATGACTGGAATGTAGCTATTGATGGCTACAGGCTGTTCAGAAGGGACAGGCGAGGAAGAAGGGGCAGAGGGGCTGCCCTCTATATTAAGAAATGCATAGGTTGTGAAGAGCTATCTCCAAAGAACAGCCATGAGCAGGTTGAAAGCCTGTGGGTGAGAATCAGAGACCACGGCAACAAAGGGTGTCTGCTACAGGCTGCCTGATTAAGAGGAATCTATTGATGAAGGCTTCTTACTCCAGCTACAGGAGACATCCTGCTTGCAGGCTCTCCTCCTGCTGGGGGACTTCAACCACCCCAACACCTGCTGGAAAAGTAGCACAGCAAGGTGTAGGCAATCCAGGAGTTTCCTGGAGTGCATGGAAGATAACTTCTTAAGCCAGGTGAGGGGATGCATTGCTGGACCTGTTGGGTCACTAATGCAAGTGAGCTAATCAGTGATGTCAGTCTTGGAGGCAACCAATCATTGCAGTGATCATGCACCAGTGGAGTTGGCAGTCCTAAAGGATATGGTTCAGGCAAAGAGTAAAGTCAGAACCCTGAATTTTAGGAAATCAAATTTGTAGCTGTTCAAGGAGATAGTCAATAGGACCCCCTGGGAAACTGCCCTCAGACACAAGGGAGGGGAACAGAGCTGGCAGATCTTTAAGAACACTTTCCATAGAGTGCAAGATCTCTCACTCCCCAGGTGTAAGAAATCAGGAAAGGAAGGCAAGATATTGACATGGCACTGTCAAGACCTGCTGGTCAAATGAAAGGGCAAGAAGGAAATGCACAGGCAGTGGAAGCAGGGACAGGTATCCTGGAAAGAATATAGAGATTCTGGCTGGTTGTGTAGGGATGGGGTCAGGAAGGCCAAGACACAGCTGGAGCTGAGCTTGGCAAGGGATGCAAAGAATAATAAGGGCTTCTGCAGGTGTGTCAGCCAGAAAAGGAAGGCGAAAGAAAGTGTACACACACTGTGGACCAGTACTATTTAGTGTCTTCATCAAGGACATGACAGTGGGATTGCATGCACCCTCAGCAAGTTTGCAGATGACACCAAGCTGAGTGGTGCGGTTGATGTGCCTGAGGGATGGGATGTCATCCTGAGGGACCTGGACAAGCTCAAGAAGGGTCGAAGGGAACTTTTTGAGGTTCAGCAAGGCCAAGTGCAAGGTCCTGTACCTGGGTTGGGGCAATCCCCAGCTGGGGATCAATACAGGCTGGGGGATGAAGGGAGTGACAGCAGCCCTAAGGAGGACTTGAGGGTACTGGTGGCCAAAAAGCTGGACATGAGGCAGCGATGTGCGTTTGCAGTCTAGAAAGCCAACCATAGCCTGGGTACATCACCTGCAGCGTGGCCAGCAGGTGGAGGGAGGAGATTCTGCCCCTCCACTCCACTCTGGTGAGACCCCACCTGGAGCACTGTGTCCAGCTCTGGGGTCCCCAGCACAAGGAGGACATGGACCTGTTGGAGCGGGTCCAGAGGAGGCCCCAGAAATGGTCTGAGGGCTGGAGCCCCTCTGCCAGGAAGAAAGGCTGGGCGAGTTGGGGTTGTTCAGCCTGGAGAAGGGAAGGCTCCAGTGAGACCTTACTACAGCCTTTCAGTACTTAAAGGAGGCTTATAAGAAATAAGGGTGGTGAAACACTGGAACAGGTTGCCCAGAGAGGTGGTGGTAGATGCCCCATCTCTGGAAGCATTCAAGGTCAGGTCAGACAGGGCTCTGAGCAACCTAATCTGGTTGAAGATGTCCCTGCTTATTGCAGGGGGGTTGGACTAGGTGACCTTTAAAGGTCCCTTCCAACCCAAACTATTCTATGATTCTATAACCCCACTCCCCGAACCACTTTGTGGTGTGTGTGCCTGATCCCCATCAGTCCAACCTCATTATCCTTTGCGGGGTTTGACCTGCAGGATAGAGTGGAGCTGGGACCCATTCTAAAGTCACCACTCCTCTCCTGTGCAAGGCTGTGGGAGCAGGGGCAGAGGCCAGAGCTGAGCACATCTGTGATGCCACAGCTAAAGCCGAGCCAAGCAGCCAGCTCAGAGCCGCTTCTCAGGGCGTGTATGAACTCAGGAACCTGCTATTTAGCCATTAGCAACACTGCCAGGGACAGCAGATGACACATATGGGCTGCCACCAGCATCCCTCAGCCAGCCAGAAGCCCTGTCCTCACAGCTTGGTGGTAACAGTATTCTGTTACCACCTTGGGATGCTCCTGGCTCCCACAGTCTCCTCACATCTGCACACAGGACCCCTGAGGGGGGCATGATGGGCTGCCTACTTCCAAGGAACACAGCTGTGGCTGGGTTGGACTTCTGATTTTGGCTGTGCTGGGAGAGAGGTTCAGGCAACATCCCCTATTCCTCTAACGAAGCTTTTCTGTCAGCAGCAGGAAGAGCAAGAGCTCCAGCCTACACTAGTATAAACCCTGCAGATTTGGCATAAAAAGCAACACAGAACAGGTTGAAACCCTCGAGTTTGCTGGAGGCAGGGAGAGACCGAGCTACCCACATGCCTGGGGAGGGAGGCCCTTTCCATCTCCCTCAAACCAGGCTCCTCCAGGGGTGATGTCCCAGGAGAAGCCATGCAAGCAGACACTTCTAACACAAACAGGCTTCAAAGCTCAGGCTTTCCCTGCCAGCTGCACTGCAGGCACAGGTCAGCTTAGCACACGTGCCTCCTATGGAGCTCCTTGGGAGAGCACACACTCACGCACCGAGAGGCCAGGACTGGAATGAGAGATGGCCACGCAGGCTGCCTGCAAACTAGCCTAATACCCATCTTTAAAAGCTATATGAAACAACTCTCCCGCAGCATCTGCAACCTGGGGAGAAGGGCTATGAGCTACTGCATGGAGCAGCCATCGGTGGGCAGGAAGTCATACACATACATAGCCACCGACTTGGACAGGTAGGTCATGGTGCCGAACCGACCACTCGGTGCACTGTCATACAGCAGGCTGCAGATGCCCGTCGTGGGATCCCTCGCCAGCATGTGGTCATCAGCGCCCAGGGCTTTCTGGATTTTGGACAGGGAAGGAGAAAGGCAACATTAGGAATAAGGGCAGCCCAGCTTCCACCCCAAGCATCCTCCATTGCATTTGCAGTATCACACAGCGATGGTGGGCAGCGGGAGGAGGACATCTTTGCTGTGCCCCATGAACACAATGGGGACAACAGGCAGGTGAACCCTGCATAGCTGTGAGGAATGCAGACAGCAGCCCTGGGTGCAGGTTGTGGCCCCTGCATGAGGCCTGGCCCCTACCTGCTCCTCATAGAAGAGGTCATTGGCCATCTGCAAGATCTTTTCCACAGCTATGATGCCACCGATGGTGTGTACCTCCATGTCCACCAGCATGGTGAGCACTAAGATAGCCTCCACCAGCAGCTGCCTGTACTCTGGCTGGGGCACACGGTTGAGGACTGACTCCACATGCACAGCAAACTTTATTTCCCCTGGGGTCATCTGTGAGGAGGGAGAAATAAATGCACCCAGAGCACTGTATCGCCAGCAGAAGTCCTGAGCTATCCTGGGCACTTGCCCAGGGCAACCCAACCCCAACCCACCTGCCCTGTTTCCCCTTCACATAAACCTCCTACCTCTCTGGTTGTTGAAGAGGGGAGAACAAAGCCCTCCACAGAGAGGCCATGGCACTGCAGAACAAGGAAAGACCATGGTTATGGCCTGGAGAAGCACTGTGCTAAGACACATAGGTCCAGCCCACCAACTCACTCCCACCTGAGCACTGGTGCATGCTGCCCACACACCCCAGGCTCCACCTCCTGACTCTCTACACAGCATCACTCCTTTCCCATCAGTTCGGCATCAGCCAGAGCCCTCCCACACACAGCACAGGGCTCTGCTCCTTGGCTTACCATGCCAAGGATGAGCTGTGCCCAGAGCTGCTTCAGCTGTGGCTCTAGCCCTGCCCCTGCCTGGCTAAGATATAAAGCACCTGAGCAGACCTAGCCCCACTCTGCAAGGGTCAGCACAGTATGAAGTAGGTCCTGCATGTCTACAAAGCAGCTCCAGCTCTTTCCTAGCTTTTCAGGGCCAGCTGCAGGCCTTGTCCATAGAGCATGTATCTACACAACATTGGAGACCAGCCCCGGGTGCCTAAGTCCCTCTGGCAAGGCTAGTGCCTAGGACCACAGGCTCACGTGCATGGAGAGGAGCTGGCCAGACATCCAGCTCACCTTCTGAAGGACCTTCCAGACCTTCTGGTAGAAGCCCACAGGGACACGGTTGAGGGCCCCATCCAGTCGCCGTCTCCGCTGCCACTGGCCCTGGCGGCTGTCCTTGCTGCCCTGCTCCTCCAGCATGCTTGAAAAGGAGCCCTGGCCCAGTAGCTCTGAGTGCCCAGCAGACTGGGCAGACAAAACAAGGACCACAGAGACTGATGCAAAGTTAAATACCCCGCAAGAACACAGCCCACTGCTGGCTGAGAGTTCGTGCTCACCCAGACTGGGTCCCAGGGCAGACCTGCCACCCCCTGCCCCCAGAAAAGCCCACCCTGCAGCCATGGCTCCCTGCAGCACCCCCCTGGAGCACAGCTCCTTTCTGCAGCCACAAACAGGACAGACCCCATGAGCACAGCCAACAAACGCAGGTTACCAGAGAGGACTTCAGGTCGGCGTCCCCAGAATGCAAACCGAGGGGCTGAAGGAGAAAGGAAGAGACAAAAGTCAGACCGTGCCAGAGCAGGACAGCCATCGCAGCAAGCAGAGCAGCAGCAGCACGGACCAAGCTCAGGTCACAGGGCAGTTATCCCAGGGGCTGCAGTTAGCTGGAGACTGAGAGGTAGTTTCGAAAGGTGAGCTGTGGAAAATCTCATGTTAGCATCAGAGGGGAAAGACTGTGCCAGGGCATGTAATGGCTGTGGGGCCCTCACAGGCCAGTGTTGTGGCAGCAGCAGGCACCAGCCAGCAGACAGGAGCAGGGCTACTACTGCCCTGTTGGCTGCTGGCACAGGCAGGGATTTAGTCTCAGGCAGACTGGAGGGCCAGCAGCAAGGTCATTTGGACTGCCCATGGACAGCCCTCCTCGCCACATATATGGTCCCTCTGCAATACCAGGTTTCACACTGCAGGCAGGTCGGCCATAAACCTGCTGCAGCAGCCTAGTCCCCGCAGGCCATGTCTCTTTGAGGACAGGACCCTTCCTAGAGCTCAGAACTCCTCCTGGACACACACCAGGCACCGGAGGAGGTCCCTTCATTTGTAGCTGGGCAGGAGCTTCTTCCCCCAGTGAAGAAATAGCTGGGGAGACTACAGGCAGGATCCAGTGACCACCAGTGAACTGCCCAGCAGGGCCACTGCTGGTCAGCAGGCTGGAAACATCATGCCATCCTGCTCAGCAAGTTTCTGTGGGTATAATGGGATCTATTTGGCTATAGCAGCTATGGAACACAGCTCCCAGCTGCCTGTAATGCCAATACACCCATGGCTTAGAGAAGCCTTCCTCTCTGCCAGTCCAAACATGGCTGGTCCCACTCAAAGGGGAGCTTCCTGAAGGTTGTGGGGCAGTGCCAGCCCTGGGCTCCCACAGCATGTTAAGCCGTGCCAACCTCTTCCCAAGGGAGCCAGCCTCATTCCCCCATCCTGAAGCCAGCTCATTGCTGTAGCAGCTCACTCAGCAGGTTTGTTTAGGAAAGCTCATTAACTCATGCATGCTCAGAAGCTGCCCTGGTGTGTGGCGTGAGGGATAAAAGCTGAGGCTGCAAAAGGACCAGGGTGGCTTCACCTTACTCCCAGTCAGAGACTGCCTACGTTTATCCAGTTGCTGCAAGAGAAGAAGGAAATGAAGTTTCTGCTGCTGGAAGAGGCCCACCAGGACACCAACCACACTTGGGACAATGCGTGGTCCTCCCCATCCCTGCACCTTCTCAAGCACCCCTCTGCTCCCCCCATACTGGGCTGCCAGAGCAACCCCCACACCCACTAACAGATATACCCCAGTCCTCCCCCCAGGGCAGGACTGGAGCCAAAAGGAGCTCCTAGAAGCGGCTGTAAGCTCTCTGAAGCCCAGGAGTGAGCGAGCTCCTAGTTCTCCCATCAGTCCTACCTGTCCTGTAGCCACTTGTCACCCACAAAACCTGGCAGAAGCAGCCTGCACCACCTGCCCTCACCTGTTTGATCTCACTTTTCAGCCTGATGATGCCAGCACGCTCAGGCTTGGTGGCGCCGACAGCCCCCACCTCACAGATGGAGATAGCAGTGGTGAGCGACGAGTCAACTGATCGCACTGGAGGAAAAGAGAGGTCTAGAGTGGGTACCACGGCTAAGGGCAGAGACGTCCCTCTGCTGGTCAGGCATGGGTACCTCTGCACACCAGCACCAGAGAGAGACCCACAAGCTCAGCACAGAACTGCTTCACTTCAGGCCTGACCAGGCCAAGTGCTGGGCTAAGCAAAGCCCCAATAGCCACAGGACTTGGGCTCAATCCCTGGAAATTAGCTCAGCACCAGCCTGCTGAAGAGCGTGGCTTCTCACTGGACCACTGCAGTGCAGCAGTAGCTGTGCTGAACATGCAGGAGGACAGAGATGTCCCCCACAGGTGGGAACACCTGGAGCTGGCCATGCTCCACACCTGGGCCCAGCTTTGCCCAGAGATGGTCTCGCAACCTTGCTGAGAGACTCACCGCTCCTTTCCACCCCAAACTCCTTGCCAGAGAGGATGTGGTAGAGGAGGCTCTTCATGTCTGATGGGCTGAGATTCATCAGGTTCTCGGTGGCTTCTCCAGCTGGAGAGGACAGAGTTGGGATGTTGTACCCCATTTCACAGCCCTTCTGGGACATTTCTACCCTGCACCCCATTCTGTTTAGCAGGGAAAGCACTGGTACAGGAGCTCATCCTCCAAGGACGTACATGTAATTCCAGGTGTTGCCTACAGCAGGGACTCTTCCCCATGCCAGCTCAACACATGCCTGGATAGAGACTGCAGTGAAGTCACCTGCCTGTGCTGCCCAAGAACAATCCCAGCTGCAGACCCTGGCACTTTCATGCAGGGTCTCATCCTGGTGCTAAGCTGCCCATTTTTAACAGAGCTGCTTCTTGGCTGACGGCCCAAGCACCTCAGCACCCATCCCAGCCAGGGTGCCGTCCCCACTGCACGTACCTGAGCAGTGCAAGGAGTGTGCCAACTCTGTAGCCATCACCTGGATGATGAGCCCAATGCGGATGCGGAACATCTCAGCAAAGAGTGCAGGCTGTGTACGCATGTACATGGCCAAGTACACCATGATCTCCTGGAGGGGAAGAGGCAGATCAGCCCACTCCTGCTCGCCAGGGCAGACACACAGCTGTGGGGTCCCCTGCCATCCCAGCCCTTCACCTGGGTGAGGATGGACACGCTGAGGTTCTTCTCACTGGCTTCATCAATGAGGCAAACAAGGTCCTCGTAGGGGATTGGTCTGGGGAGGGAATGAACGGCAGAGCAGGTGAGAGGCAGCAGAGCAAGCCCTGCATCCCTCCTGGTCTGTACAGCCCGGAGATGAGAGATACAGGCTGGGGAGAGCCACCCAAAGCTGCTCCTGCCTATGGACTCCAGAGCAGCGGGCTCACATCCAGCCCCAGCCCAGCATGCGTGGGGAGGGAGAGGTGCCACACTCACGCGGAGATAGTCTTCTCGCGTGGCTCCGGGGGCAGTCCCACTGTCAAGTGCTTCTGGTGAGACAGGAGGTCAGTGCAGGCCTGGGGACAGAAAGGGTGACCCCAGGCATCACCAACAGCTCAGGGTTTGGGGCCTCAGCACAAGGCAGCCAGAAACAGAGCTGATGCAGCCATGGTTTGCCTGCCCACTTTGCTGCCTCCTTCCTGACAGACCTCAGCCCACTAGAGGCCAGCTGCACAGTTGTTACCTCATCCAGAGCTTCCACCTTCTTCTTGAGGATGCCAGAGATGTAGCGGATCAGGGCCCACTGGCGCGTGTCCCCCACTCGCATGTACAGCTCAGTGAGGAGCTCCTTCACAGTGGGGCCAGGCTCACTATCAAGCCCTGTGTGCCACTCGGGCCCTCTGCAGTAAAGAAGATGCCAGTTATAATAGGAGATGCCAGCAATTTGCCCTCCAGCAGCTCCCTGGCAGCCCCCAGGGTTTGCTGGCTGGAACGTGTGCACAGCTGCACTGTCTCTGCTCAGTGAGCCAGCAGGACTTGGTGCTCATCGTACTTGAGGATGTGCAGCATGTAGAGGATGTCCGCTTGCTCCTGCAGTGTGGGGCAGATGCGCAGCTGGTCCACCAGTGCCTTGCAGTCCACGTTGCCATCCTCATCACGGGGCAGGTTCATCTCTGCATGGAGTGTGTGGCTCTGGGAGAAGGGAGACCCATGCTCCTGGTTAGCACTGCCAGGATGCTGCACCAAGTGCCAACTGGTTATGGAGCCAAGACCATTCACCCACAGATATTCCCCCCTCACCAAACACCAAGCCTTCCCTATGCAGCCCTGCAAGGGCCCTCTGAAAGGCTCCAGCTAGTCCAGGAGGGACAGGGCTCACCTTGCCATCCACATCGTGCTCGTGTGGTGAGCTCAGCAGCTTGACCGACTGCTGGGATGCCTGGAATATTTTGCTGGGGACATACATCCCAACATCTGAAAGAAAGTCAAGATTGGTGCAGACACTTCTCAACCCCAACCACCACTGCTCTGCCCCAAACCACCTCGCTCTGCTCCCCCCAGCAGCCCCGGCAGAGAAGTCAGCTGTGGGAAAAGCAGTCCCTGCCCACCCAGTTAGTGGAATGCCCCAGGGAGCTGCCATCCCTTATCATTCAGCAGTTTCCACAAGGACTGCATAGGCACCAGCTCCGAGAAACTCCATGGCCAGGACTAACATGATGGACATAATGTGCCTTTGCCTAGGTGAAGGCTGGGTTGCTCTGCAGTCCACAGCACACTCCCGTGAGGCCCCCAGCATCGCACAGCTGGGAAAGCTCCCAGAGCACTCGAGTGTCACCGCTGGGCTTGAGGAAAGGTGCTAAGGGTGCTTGGAGTTACTCACTCTGGACATGAAGGTCCTTGGCCTTGGATGCCAGGGACATGAGGTCACGGGTGGTGTGGACAGCAGCCCGGAAGCGGCTAAGCCCTCCCCGCTGGGCAGTGGGAGGGAGGTTCGACTGTGGAACTGTGCGCTGCAGCAAGTGGTCCAAATACTGAGCAACCTCGTCATATGTGTCTGCTGGAAGGGGAGGCAGAAGAGCAGGCGTTCAGCTGCTTTGTGCCAGGGCACCCCTAGACCCCAGAGAGCTCCCCAGCTGTGCCTCGTCGAGGGCAAAGCTTTGCTGGCTGCACAAAGCGACAATGTGGGGCTAGTGCTGGCAGCCAGATGGACAGACAGACAGTGCCTGCAGCTGGGCTCACAAAGCACAGCAGCCACAGCACCCCTGTTCCTGCACTACTCTACTGCCTGGGATGCTTGCTGCCAGCTGGGGCCAAACCGGGGCTCCCTCCAAGTCTCACCTGGATGAAGGAAGCAATGGGGCTGCAGTGTATGTCTGGTCCAAGCCTGCCCAAGGACAGCAGTCTGCTGAAACCCCACAGTGAAACCCTCGTGCTCTGTCCCCCAAGGGAAGAAGGTGAGGCACAGCCAGGGGCAGTCTATCCAAGCAGAGACCACTTAGGAGCACCCCAGCACAGCAGGGGACTCCTCCAAACAGGACTCCAGCACAGGAGCAAGGCAGGGTGGGTTTTGCAACAGTTATTTCCAATTAGAAATTACCAGTTATTTCTAAGTAACAGCTCCTGCCTTGCTCTTTGCCCAGCCTCCAGTGGCTCTCATTGCTCCCAACGCCACATTAGGAGCCACCACTTGCTAACTGTAGCATGGAGGAGGGTGCTCAGAGGCCACGTGCCAGGAGAGAACAGTGCTGCCCAGCAGTGAGGGGGATGCCCTGTGGGGGGAAGATGCCCCATTGCCAAGGCAATGCAGACCTGTCGATGCACTTCCAGTCAGTGGGCCAGGGCAAAGCCTTGCTGCTCTCCAGCTGGCAGACAAGCTCCGTGGTGTGTCTGCCCCAGGAAGCGAGCTGCAGACTGCACCGAGGCAGACAGTGCAACATCCCCTTTGCACACCTGGTGGGGATGCCTTGTGCCAGCACCTGAAGGCTCGGCTGCTGGAGTCCCCCAGACATCAGGCTTGAGAACATCATCCTGCCTGGCTGCAGCATCTGACCACATGAAAAACTTAAAATTGAGCATTTTCTAGCTGCTGTAGACAGGCCAGGCAGGACCTGTCCCCCACTGGGAAGAAGCCCAGGTGCAGCCTGCAAGCAGATTGTAGGCAAAGCGAGAGGAGGGCAAGAGAAATAAGTATTCAGAGTCACAGCAGAGCAAACTGGATACAGGAGCAGCAGAGGCAGAGCAGACTGATGGGAAGGCTGGGAAGATGACCAACACTACATCACACGGGAGAAGGACGTACCCAGGACTGCTTGCAAGGGGAGCAGCAAAACTTGCACCTCGCCACGGTCTCAGGACAAGGTGGGTCCATCATATTGTCATGGGTCAAGGCCCTCTCAGGCACCCTATCCACAGGAGCAAGGCCTCAATTTGGCACCCAAGTACTCTGCTCAGGGAGGGTCAAAGGCTTCAGGAAAACAACACTCTGAGATTGCTTGGGGACAAGGTGTCTCTTCCCCACCATCTTGGGCACTATACCATCCCTTTCTGCACCGCCACTTGTGCGGCCAAATCTCCCGAATGGAGGCAGGTTGTCAAGCCTTCGTCTCTTCCCCTTGCAACAGTTTACAAAGGTCAGAGCGGCTCATTCCAGAGCATCCTCCGTGCTCTCCACATGCACCAGTCTCAGCCCCATCTGGCTGGGAGACCCCTCTGGCGAGGGGGCTACAACAGCTGCATCAATTCACCCAGTCCCACCCCACTGGTGTCACCATGAGCACCACCCAGGCAAGGTTAATTGATGGAGGGTCAGATGGGAACAAAACATGGTGAAAACCCAAGTGTATGAAGAACACAGTGGTGGACGCTGGCAGGGAGGTTGGGTATTATGGGTGAGTTTGGTATTTGCCACACCACAGCAGCAACTGGCCTGTTCCCCCTTACCATCCTCTGCTATCTGCAAGCCATGCAGCCACTCCTCCGCGTCTAGCTCCTCAAAGCTGTCAATGCTGAGCTCGTAACTCTTGGCAAAGACCTTACCCTCTGGCCCAGGGTCCATAAAGCTGAGGTGCGTTCGGCATGATGTTGTCAGGAACTCCGACAACTTACCCGTCTGGATCCTGGGCAAGAGGAGGGGAGGTCACACAGAGAGGAAGGGGGAGGCAATACCCTTGGCTTTGCCTCCTGGATCCAGGGCAGGCCCTTCGGCAGGGAGAGACACGCTTGCCCAGGAGCATACGCACGCCCCAGCGCCTGCTTTAGCTGCCTGCAACTCCTCTAGCCACAGGTGGGAATGGAAGGGCTGCCCAAAAACTATTAGAGGGATCCTGCAGCCATGGGTTTTCACGGGCATGGAGATATGCCCTCTCTTACATCTCCTCTGTTGGGACTGTAGCCCCAGGGTGCGCTTACAGCCTAGCACACCCCAATGTATCCTCCACAGCTTGCTCCCCCACAGCCAGAGCTCAGGCCCAGCAGGTACCCTCATAACCACGCTCTCGGAGGCCACCAACCCTCTCCCCTCCTGCACCCCAGGAATCTGCGCTCACCTTGCACCACCAAAATACCCATCCTGCAGCTTCCGCAGCGTTGCCAGTACTGTGGGGTGCACGCTGCTGCCAGTTTCATCTGTTGGGGACAGAGACACAGGCAGTCAGGCTCTCCCACTCCAGCAGGCTCCCAGAAGGTAACACAGGGCCAGGCGGGCATTCAGACAGGCAAAGCACCATGGCATTGACCAGACCCTTGCTTTGGGGTGTACAGCCAGGCTGTGGCAGCAAAAGCACCACCCAAGTTCAGGACTGTCCAGGTTGGATTCCAGCAAAGCCAGGCCAAGACGCACTCCAGAATCCTGGGATTTCACCTTGGGCTGAAGCTGCCCGTACCAGGCAGCAGCACCCAAACAGGCCCCTGCTCTGTCCCTGGCTTTCGCACAAGGCAGCGGAGAGGTGCTGCTGTCAGGGCAGAAGACACCACAGCAAAGGGCATGGTCAAGACACTAAGGGGATTTCAAGCACACAAGGTGAGCCAAAAAGGCCTGAAAGCAGAACAGAGTGCCTTTCCTGCCTGAGGCTCATGGGGAAGCTGTGAGCAGCTCCAGAAAACTCAGTTTTGCTCTGTGCCATTGTGCAGCGCTCTGCTCCTTCTGGGTTGGTGTTTTCCCCTCCCTGCTGTCTAGGAAAGCCTTCAGCGGGTGGTTAGTCTTAGTGAAGAGTCAAGATGCAGGAAGAGCCCCAAGAACAGTTTTACAGGGAGATTATTTTTTTGGTCTTGCTCCCAAAAGGCCTCCCCACAAGCCTAGCTGCCTGGAGACCGAATACCTCGATGCCAGCAAACATCCCTTGAGCTCCAGGCACTAGTGCTTGGCAAGGCAGCCTCGCTAGCTGCCAGGACAGCTGCCAACTCGCTGTAGCTCCTTTGAGCAGTAAGCTCTTTACAGGACGCTACTAGCTGTTCCAGTCCCATCGTATCCCAGTTACGATCCCACATCTGCCCACCCCCTTCCTCTCACAGAGGCTGCTTCCCAGGGCTGCTCTAGCCAAATGCCTTGTGAGTCTGGAGGATATATACCGAGCATGGTGTGGGAGATGGGGAAAGTGATGGTTGGCTGCCCGGTCATCCTCCAGCGGCTGCAAAGGTACGAGAGGTCCGTTCTCAGCATCTCCACAATCATCTTGTTGTCAAGAGCCAGGTAGAACTGCTGCTGGTCTATGAACTGTGAGGAGAGCAGGAGATGAGAGTGGCCTGTCCCACAGCCACTGGGTCCCTTTGGTGCCACCCACGTCTTCCCACAGGCCCTCAGCCAGGCCAGCTACACAGTGCACCCAGGGCAGATGCTCCTTTGCACCGACAGCTCATCTCACCTTACCTGGCACATACCAGTACAGTCTAGCAAGGGACCCTCAACCCCTAGGGCAGCTACTGGCCACCAACAACTAAAAGGAGATAACACTACAGCTCAGCAGCAGCATCACCCAGGCCCCGTGCATCTGGTCCGTGCTGTGCCTATCCCAAGCAAATACATGCTTCCCACAGCACCAGGCTTGCAACCCTGCTTGTCCCCACACCATGCTGGACAGAGGGGTCTCTGTCCTGCCATCAGCCTCCTCTGGGTGTCCTTGTCAGGGTGAGCAAAGAGACTTTCACCGAACACTGACCACCAGAAGGCTGAAACCATTTCCTCCCAGCACGCACACAGCCAGGACCGCCAACTCTGCTGCTTCTCACCACGGAACTGGGGCTCCTCTGCCCTCCCAGGCTGTTCAGAGGGTGTTGGGCCACCCCTGTGAGTAACTCGAGCATTCAGCCAGCAGAGAAACCTTCTGCCCAGTTCCAGATTGCATGACAGCTTGGAATGATCCCATGCAATGCCACCCACCTGCGGGGTAAAGGTAAAAATGTTCTTCCTGATGTTGTAGAGCTTGGAGGTCCCAAGGACGCCCATGTGGCGGTAGGGCCGTCCCGTCAGGCACATCTGCTTGTTGCGGCCTAGGGGTGCAGGAAGAGGAGGTTTTAGTGCAAGCCTCCTCAAAAAGGGGATGCAGCAGCAAACAGAGACAGGCCCCTGTGCTACCAGCCAGCAGGAAAAGGCTGGTTTGTGGCTGGGATACCCCAGGACCCTGTGCCGAGCTGGCACAGCTCTAAGAGACAGTGACACTTTGCCGCAACATGCCACACACACCTCCAGGTCTTTGGGGATGTCAGAAGCTGAGGCAGGGCCAGGGGTTCCCGCTTGCACAAGGCTGGCCCGCCAAAGCTGGCAGCTCTATCAGTGTTCCCATTGCTCCTGGATTACTCCAAGAGCCTAGGATGGTGCAGCAGCAGCATTGCCCCTTGGTCATGTCAGCCCTGGCAGCTGCCAGGCTGCTCCCCTGCCCCCTTTGCTCATGTCACACTTGGCCTTTTGGTGGCTTAAATTAGCCAGCATGAGCAGCCTACAGTGGATCAGGTTTCTCCTTTAGCCCCAGCAGGGTCTCCAGCTCCCGCACAACAAGCCCCATGCCCGAGGGGTTGCAGCGTCAGAGAATGAGCGTGCAAAGCTCTGGAGCACACCCTCCCCTCACACTCAGCCCTGACAAGTCTCCAACAACAGTTGTGCCACCTCAGCTACAGGCTCTCTCAGCCAGGGGACCCTTCTCTGGGGTCTGGCTTGCCTCCCCCATTGAGATCTGGGTACAGGAACAAAAGCTGGCTCCTGCCCACACCAGGTCCATCCTCTATGGATCAGAGCCTCTGCCTGTCCCTAGGGTGACTGTGGAACCGCAATGCCAAAGCTTTATCCCTTTCAGAATCACCCTGAACAGCACTGCCTGCCACCCCAGCTCCCCTTGGGCAGGAGTAGCTTTACCACACCCAGGAAACGGGTGGCAGAGCCCTCATCAGCCAGGCAGAGAGCATCAGGCAGGACACCAGCCTCTATAAGCAGGAGTGCCAGGGAATGGGACAGACCCTTCTGCACCTCCTTTGCTGCAGGAGCAGGGAGCCCAGCTCACCCAGACGGGCGTAGATGTGGCTGAGGATGCGAGCAGGCTGCACTCTGATGGGGTAGACGTCTGCCACAGTCTCCACATCGATGTCCTCCTTCCTCAGGACAGCCTTGATCCCCTCCGTCTCTGCCAGGATGCACACTGCGGAGGGAGGAGCACAGGCTCAGTGTGGCAGGGGCACAAGGGTGTGACAGCACTGCTCCGGCCTTTGTGGACATGTACAAGGTGGCACATCACGTAGAGGCAGCCGTCTGGGGTCCCTTTGGGAACGAGTTCCCTCTGCAGAGGTCTGCCCTGCTCCTCCTAACACCCTCTACACCCAAGCCTTCCCCTCTGAGCGGCAGGAGGACAGGACCATTTTCAGCCTCTCTGCAGAGGAAGCTGTAGCAGGTGACATTTCCCTGGGGCAACGCAGGGCGGAGTGCACCCCATCTTATATCCACCTTGCCAGGGCTGAGATCTGGTGCACTGGCAGCCACCCAGCAAGCAGAGCCACCCCAAAGCCACCTTTGTGAATTCTGCACAGACAGAGTCCCCAGGCCTGCCAGGCACAGGGGGTTGGGACCAGTTCCTTCCCCTCACCTTGGACCACCACATCAGGCTTCGGGACAGTTGCAAACCGGCGGTTGAGAGGATCTATTTCACCAGGAGCTAGAAACCCCTGAGGAAAGAGACGTATGAGGAGATGAACATTTCATGGGCAGGGTAGAATGGGCAACACCATTGGACAACCCACCTTTAAGAGGTCCTGGGGAATGGAGGTGACAACTTCCCCACAGTAGGTGGCTCAGGATGGCAGCATTTGCCCTTTCAGAGCTCAGAGCCTGGCCCCACAGCCCTCCCCGTCATCAGGGGTGACCATACCTCAGCCATCAGGCAGCCCAGGATGTAGAGAGACTGCCCCCACATGAGTGGCAGCTTGCCCATGGGTATCCTGTCCACAGTGTGGGGGTTCCTGTACTCCTCATCCACCTGGAAGACAAGCCAGGAGGTCGGGGAGGGATCCACAGACACCAGGTGCTGAAGGAAGCATCATCATTGCATCCTGAAGTCCAGCAGTTTAAGGCTTAAAATGAGAGCCTACAGAAGCATTTGCCACAGAGGGTCCAAAACATCCTGGCTACATTCCTTCCCTCTTCTCTTGATTATTGCCCCAGGCATGCATGTCAGACAACAGATCAGCTGCTCAGACTGCATTTGGATTCCCAGCACGGGCCATCCCACTGGAATGACTGACACGTCCCAGGAGCACCAGGGCAATGCTCTCAGATGCTGATAGGGAGAGAATCTCTCCTATATCACCTGGGCACCGGGAGGCCACTGGTCTCAGCCCAGGCCCCCACAAAAACCCTCGCCACTGAACAGGAGCTCAGTGCAACCTCCTCAGCCCAGGTCTGCATGTCCTGAGCTCTGAGAGGACTCAGACTCCAGGCCAAGCAGACTGTCAGCAAAGCACCCTTGTGTATGGGGGCAAGAAATGCTTTGGGGAAAAAAAAGCAATTTATCCAACACAGTTTTATAGCAGCTCCAAGCCATGTTCTTTTTACATGGGGTTTCTATGCGCTGCATGTACTGCTTTACTAACAATTTGGGCTAATGAACAGTTAAAACTTAATTATCTGGTAATGAGACATTCCCGCTCCCTCTGTAGCTCAGGACCGCTCACCTTATCTGACGGGACGCTGTACAGCTCTGGCACCAGGCGCACCCCATTCTTCCCCTTGATGAGAACCCCCTCAAGGGCTTCCCGGTACTCCTCTACCTGAGGAGAGAGGAAAGGGGATCTGTCCCCAGTCACAGCTCCCTGCATCCTCCCCACACACACCTCCCTTGCCAGGGACTTCTTTCCACTAGCCCAGCAACTCCTGCCTCCCTTACCTGCTCCATGTTTCCACTGAAAATCCCATCAATTATCAAGTATGCCCAGAAGAGAGGCCACTCACACTCAATGTTCTCAAACAGCTTCAGCTCAGCAGGTTCATAGTAGAGGCGGTTGGGGTCCTGCAGGGAGGGCGTGACAGAAAGACAGGTGATGGGAGGCAGGATCCCCTCAAATTGACAGGGTTCCTACTCCCCCCAAGACCCCAGCCTGAAATGCCCTCCCAGTCCTCCTCTGCAGATGATGTCTGAGACAGAGCCAAAAAGCAGTTTCACCTCCAGGCTGTATCCTTTCCATCAGACATCCCCTGCACTGATGCCAAAGGGAATCACCCTTCCTGGGAAAAGGAAGCCTACCCAGTCCCCAGGAAAACACCCCAGAGCCTTGTACAACAGCACGTCATTCCCCTTGCTGCACTGGGGACACCTGTGACCCCTTCACCTTGCCGGCTCTGCCCCAGCCCCTCAGCGCCTGCCTCCTCCAGCATCACCAGGCTGGCCCAGCTGGGTGCAAGGGCTTGGGCTGGTCACGCAGAGCCAGAGTGTCCCTTCTGCTATTTGGTGCAACCGTAAACCTAACACAAGGGAAGTGGTCAGGACTGACAGCTGCCTTCGCCGAATCCTCCCACCCCAGATGTGCGTGCTATAACGTCCGAAGGGACATGTGCTTGACCCTCCCTGCTAACTGCTTTAACTCTGTTTGCTACAGAGAAGGGAGAGAGCTGGCCTTAGCAGACTGTCAGGCAGAGAGGAGAAGATGTTTTCCGTAATGCCTGCACACCAGCCACAAGCTCCCAAACTCCCATTTGAATCCAGCCAGCTGCAGTGCCTCTGCAGGCAACGCTGACCTTCCCATGCCTCACAGCTCCCCAGAAGTAATCCACAGCTTTCCACACTGGCAAAGCTCGTGAGCGCTTGGAAAGTCAGGCTGGAGATGCTGCTGCTCTTCTCTGGCTCTAGAGAGACACAGCCACACATGCTGCCTATTATGGTCAGGTCTGAAGAGGCACAGCAGAGGAGAAGCATTTAGAGGCACCCATGCACAAAGGAGCCCTGCCAGGTTACAGGCCCAACAGCTGGTGGTGATTTAAGATCCTCCAAGTGCCATTTCCTGGTTCTGTGGTTATCAAATGTGACTGTTGCTTATAAAAGGTTCCTGTTCTCCCTCCCCAAAGCAGCACAAGAAAGTCTCTGCTCGCTCCACAGAGAGCCAAGTGTGGCAGTACGCAAGCTGCCTGCTGTCCAGGGAGCGGCAGAAGCAACTCTGTGACCTCCAGTGCTGCTGCAGAGCTGACGCTGTCAGGGAGGAGCACTACACGGTGGCCTCCACAGGCCTCCGGCTCTTGCTCAGGGCTTGTACAGCTCTGGGAGAGCTGGGGAAAGAACCCACCTTGGCAGGGCTCCCACATAGGGCAGCAGTCCCATCTTTCCCCAGCTTAAGAGATACACAACACCACCAGGTCCCAGGATGTGGGCTGAGCCAGGTTCTGTCCACCCACTATGGGCGTGGGTGGGATGTACCACCTCTGCATTTTGGGAAGCCTTGCCCAGACCCATGACACCACCTGGGACTACTCAGGGCTCTCATCTTCCCAGTGCTCCCCACCACAGCCTTTGTGCAGCACTCGGAGGGGCTGCAAATGCAACCCAGAGCATGTGCTGCTTGGTGCTCAAATTCTGGCAGGTGGCAGGGCTGGGGACGCTTACCTCTTTGGGGGTCCTGTATCCATCCCGGAGGAAGCGGGTGTGACCCCCCGGGAGAAGGCGCCCCCAGCCGTAGCGCCCCTGGAAGGGAGGGGAAGAGGTGCTGAGCAGGAAGCACGGAGTAAGATACCCTTTTACCCTTAATGCAGAAGCATGGGTGGGGTGTCTCCTCCAGCCAAATACATCCTCACTCGCTCACCTAGTGCTCAGGCACCACGATCACAGCCTAGGGCCACAGCACACAGGACTGTTTCTTTGCACACCCCTCCCACGTGTCATGGAGGCTGGGAGACGACATGCCCCAGTAACCCCTCCCGGAGCATGTTTTTGGGGAGAAAAGGGCTACAACAGTTTGGATTGCAGCAGTCTCCCAGGAAGGGTGAGACAAGAGCAGAGCTGCTCACCTGCAGCTTTGTGATGATCTCTTGCTTGGTGATTTCCACCAGCTCGCTGTCCTCCACAGCGAACGCTGGGTAGGAGATGACAGAGAGCACACTGGCATCCACCTCTTTGGATGTGGAGGCCCTGGGCAGCATCGAGTGGAGGATGGACTAGGCCAAGGGGAAGGAAGGGTGGTTAGGTTGCCAGGCTGGGCATTGTTCACACTACAACCCCAGCAGATCACAGTTCATCCTGCAATGGTGTAAAGCCCATGCGGGTCTCACCTGGCAGTGCTGCACCTCGTCCGACAGCACCCGTATCACCGACTGCGGGCCTCCCTTTGCTCCAAAGAGATCCAGCTCATCCAGGGCCTCCAGGGCAGCCTGCAAACAGGGCGAGACTCAAAGCAGCGAGTCCTCCACCATGCCGCTCATCTGTAAGAGCTCTCACCCCATGCCAGCCCCTCTGTGTAACGCACTGCTCAAATTTAAACAAGTTTAAACCCTGCTGTGGCTGCAGAGCACCCCTGGTCCAAATGTGATTGCATCTCCAAAGCCACAGGTAGCCAGACATCAACAGGGCCCAGGACATTTCCACCACACACCCCAATTAATTTCTCACTGCCAGTTCAGGCAAAACTCAGGCAAGAGGGGCACAGTTTTACCCAGCACACAAGGAGAAAGGTCTTCCTCCCCAGGAACCTATCACTGCATGGGGCATTGGGCCTCAATAGTTCAACATGCCCAGCCTTCCCTGTAAAAATGCAGCACAGGGCCACTGGTGCTCCCCAGCACCTGCCCAGCACTTTTCCCCGTCTCACCTTGGCCATGCCGACGGAGCTAGCGTTCAACTCGGTGATGCCCTGATTCGTCTTGTCCCCACGTTCCCATATCCCAAAGTCCTGCACAGAGGCAGCGGCACATTGGAGCAGGCAGCAGTTCACAGCACACCCAGAAAGCCTTCAAATCCCACACACTGGTGGTGCTCCCAGCAGGTGCTGTGGGAATCCACTGCAGGGACCCACAGTTGCCCCTAGACACCATCGAACCACCTGCACCCCTGGGGCACGCTCCCCTTCCCCAGCACAAGCTACCCACCGCAGTTTTGTAAGCTGCTTCGATGTAGAACACAAGGTTCTGGATAAAGTTGACTTCATCCAGGCTGTGAATTATGTGGAGGCCTGAAGCAGAGGGAAGAATTTGCACTGATCACTCCAAGCCCACAGGCATCCCTAGAAAGGGGCTGCAGCAACCCAGGCTGGACCCCTCCACCTCACTGCATGCCCATGGAAGCCATGTCCTGGCTGGCTCCTGTTCCCCACTCCCACCCTCCTACGGCAGGTCTGGGGCTTCAGGCAAACGGGGGCTCTTAGAGAGATGGACATCAAGGGGCCCAAATCCACCTCAGGTGCTGTGAGTGTAAGAAAACAGTGAGGTGAGGGAGGCCATCACAGCACCTTGGTACCCAGGAAGCTGCTCCCAAACTGAGAACATGGAGAGCCCTGGAGATCAGCATGCTCAAAGCTGAAATGGCATCCCCCAACAGCATCACCTGAGGCTGTCATTTGTGCCAGCATGAGCAGGTAGAGGGAGGTGGCATCCATCTGTAGGTGACCCCACTCATGGTCCCCCACCACGGTGGCACAGGTGTGGGTGTTGTACTTGGCATGCAGGCAGTCCCTGGTGCTCTGGCTGTACTTGAATGCCTCCACCTTGTCCACCTTGAGAAGGGCAAGGAGATGCAGGAGTTCATCAAACCGTGTCTCCAGAGAGCTCTGCAGACAAGCCAAGGGCTGCCCTGAGCCATCAGCCCAGCATGTGGAGCCATGCCTGGCAGGGCAGAAATCCTACAGCCCCCAGGGCTGAGGCCCTCCACGAACCAAGTCACTGAGAGCAGGCTCATGTGCCACCCTAGCACAGGGCTGCAGGCGTGGAGGACCCACAGCCACAGTTGCACCACGTGGAGAGAAGAGGGTCACCCCAAATGCCCTCAGGGAAAAGAGCTGCGGAGTCCCAGTGCCAGCCAGGCCACAAGACAGGGAGCAGCTGGCAAAGGCTCCACTGGCCACCAGCCCACAGCACTGGGACTTCCATCACACCAGGGACAGATGCCAAGTCAGAGCTTATTTCAAGACCTGATGGAAGGGGGCCTTCCCTCAGCTCATCAGGGAAGGCTGGGGAGAGCCAGCACAGCTGGGACTGACAGTCTTTGTGGCAGAGCTGGCCTTTGAGGAGACCACTCAACTCTCAGAGGTGCTCCCCAGCCCTTACCTGTCTCATCATGCACTGGAGCAGCCCCCGCATCAGCTTCACCACACTCTGCGGGAACAAGGAAAACAGCCTTATTAATCCCCACGCAGCCAGGAGAAGCCCTGACTCAGGATCAGCTGGCCGCTGACCTTTGCAGGGCTCCAGTATTTGTAACCGGAGCCCCTGCTCACATTTCCATGCCCCCTCCTCCCTAGGGAATAGCAGAGGGAAGCAAGATTTCTTGGCCTGCCAGCAAAGCTGAGCTGCTGTGCTGTGCAAGGGGAAGGAGGGGACAGCTGCAGGACGCAGCTCCACAGCGCCTGGGAGAAGGGCTGTGTCCCCAGACCACCACAGACCCAGAGGGCTGGATGCGCCGGCTGGGCTCCAGCATGCTCTGGGAAGAGCAGGCTCTGACATCCCCTCCTACCGCCCCCCACACCTGGGGACAGCCCTGTCCCCACCCTCACTGCACAGCCTCCCGTGGCCTTTTGGCCCCAGAGCTGGGCCGTGCCACAAGCAAAGCAGCTGGGAGGTGACGGCCGGCTCGCCGGTGCCACCCGCCCAGCGGCCCCGCCCGCCCCTCCCACCAGCTCACTCTTACCTGCTCCAGCTCGTAGGCCTTGGCCTTGTCCTCGTCGCGGTCGGCGTTCTTGCGGTAGGCCAGGCCCAGCCCCCACACGGCCAGGATGCTGTAGACGTTGTCCCGGACCCAGG